GCAATTCCAGCTCCAGATTTTTTCTCTCTTCTCTGAACTTTTTAATAAGTTGAAATATAACTGATATATGGTAAAGTGCAAAACTCGGAAGCGTGCAGCTATGACTGTTTACATATGTGTGCATCCAGGTAACACCACCCACTTCAAGATACAGTGCATTGCCAACACTCCAGAAGGCTTCCTCCTTCTCCTTCTCTGTCAAAACCCCCCTAGGAGTAACTGCTGTGGAGGAGGAAAAATGATTTTTCCTCTAAATTTCTAGGTTCTTGCTTGAAACCCCTTGTAATAAAAGACAGATTAACAGGTGAGAACGAAACAGAAGTTTAATAACATGTATACCTTTGTGTGCATAGGAGATATCCAGGAAAACTAACTCCCCGAAATGACCCAAGCCATCACCTTAAATACCGTCTCCAGCTAACGGCATGTATGTGTGTCTCTGTGTGTGTCTGCGTGTGTGGTGGGGTGTTTATGTGAGGTAGTTACGCAGATTTGTCATTGACTTCTCCATTGATAAGAGTTTCTGGAGTTTTATTCATCCTTCTCTTCCTGATACAGAGAGGGAGACATCCTTCCAAAAGGAGATTTCCCGGATAAATGTAAATATCTCTTACAAAAGTGTAATTTCTACCCATTTTTCAGAGCTTCTCCTGTGTATGCTGTTTCTTAAAAATAATTGGCCTAAAATAATCTTTATGTCAAAGAGGCACATTTTGGGATAACGAATTCTGCCCCCTTCACTGCCATGCTGAGTTTTATCCCCAGAGATGAGTTTTGCATAGTGGTGAACTAGCTCCAAATTCTTCTTGCCCTCCTTGCCTGTACAGTTCACTTGATAAATGCAAGATTTGAGCTTCCTGCAACAGCTCTTATCTGCTTGGCTTGTACTTATACATCCCTTAAGTATTGTTATGCAAACTTCCTTGTTTGTGAGTCCAGTCTCCCTAGTTGGATTTTAAACTTCTTGAAGGCAGAGATTGCCTACATGTCTAGCATATTCCTATGCCCATTACAGAGGCTCAGTAAATATTTGTAAAATGAAGTCTGATGTTGAATGATTGAGAGGGAAAAAAGAAGCAGTAAGCAGACAGATCAAGACAAAGGCTCCTCTCTTCATTCTCCTTCATACACATGCAGTTTATTTTTACTGATAACATTCGATATAATATCGGGATTGTACATTGTTTTGTTTGTGGGGGATCATGTATGCATTTGACTTTCAGGTGAGATTGTGGTAGAGAGACAGGAGTGGAGTCAAAGAATATAAAGTGCAGGAAGAGAAGAGGTCAGAGGGCCAAATCTAAGAGCAAGCTTGCTCAGCCCATGCTGCTGAAACCCAAGTTATAGCCCTTGGTCTGCTGCTAACTTGTGCAATTTTCATTTCTCTGAGCCTCAGTTTGTCTGTGATAATAACTTCTGACCCCTTGCACTCCACAGGAGATTAGTTGAGCTCACAGCTAGGAAGGTACTTTGGACAAAAGAATTTAAGGTATTGTTTCAACAGGAAGAGATGTGGCTTATATTAGCAAGCCAGGTACATCTGCTTTCTGCTTTAAGATTGAAACATGACTCGGATGAAAAGGCGGTAAGGCTGAGTTCCTAGAATCATAGACAATTAGAGCCAGCAGGTATCTTGGAAACCATTCTAGTCCACCCCCTCGTATTATTTGAGTACACTGAAGCGCAGATAAATGATTTTCCCCAAGTTCTCACTGAACGGAACCTGGATTCCAGGTTCCCTTTTTACCGTGTACTGCAAAGCTTATTTGCTCTTGTTACTGTTTGGAGACAAGAAGCCACTGGCCTGTGTCCCAGCAAGAGAATGATCAGGACATTTGTGTGAAGCTTTTTGAGTTTCTAAAATCTGATACCCTTTTTTCAGTTCAATTATTGCTTGAACTGAACTATATGGGGACAACAATCTCCTAGTGTTTGTCTAGTGCTTAGTATCTTTGCCACTATGCTAGGTGCTGTGAGGGGTTTAGAAAAGATTAAGATCCATCCTCTGCTGTCAGAGATCTGAGTGTGGGAGACAGGACTAACAATGAGAGAACAATGGAAGGCAGTATGTGATTCAGAATAAAATGAGTAGTGCAGGCAAAAACTACTGTAGAGGTTCAGAGGAGGGAGAGAGCTCTTGGAGCTGGGGGTGGGGGTTGGGAGGAGTGCAATTTCACTTGGACTTTGAAGGATAGGTAGGGATGTTTATGCAGACGTAAGGGAGGGCACTGAATTTCAATGTGTATACATATGAGTGTGCACATGCATGCACAGATGCAGAACTGGATAAAAATAATGGGTAGCATTTACTGAGCTCTTTCTATGCACCAGATACTACATAATGTTATACATAATTCAACTCGGTTATGCATAATCCTGAGAATTGGATAATAGATCATTAATAACCCTTCAATTAAAAGATGGAAATTTAGGCACAGAGAGGTTGAGTAAATTACTCAATGTGACACAGCAAGTAAAAGGCATAAATGGAATTAGAAACCAGGTCCTAAAAACACTTGGCTATTCTACCTATGAAAAAGGGGAATTTGTAGCTCAGGTGAGGAAATTGGCCTGGCTACCGTCATTAAAGATGATCATTTTGCAAGCACAAGGAATCTCTAGGCCAAATTCCCAACCGAAGTTCAGCATGGACATGGGAGGGATTAATAAAGCCATTTATTGAGGTGTTATAACCTCCGTTAACCTAAAATAAAAGGCCAAAGTAAGAAGCAACAAACATTAGAGATTCAAGAGAATAGCTGTTTGAGATGCACTGACTCAGGCAGAAATCCAAATAGTGTTCCAATTAGGAGATGAAGGCGAGGGGCATAGTGATGCTAATTCTAAAGAACTTCTTTAATTTTCAGTCCATAGTTATAATGTCTGCTTTCTTGTTATCTTTGCAAACAGTTGTTTGGACTACAGTGCTGCTTTAGGCCCAGTCCAAAGGCTATTTTGTCAGTTTGAACATTCCAAAGGTTTGAGGAGTTAGGATGTGCAAGGCAGTTCCTTAGGTATGGAAGCTCCGACTCCATTTTGAAATGGCTCCATTTATTTTCTTTTAACACCTCATTCTTACTTCTTTGAAGATAGGAATTTCAGGTCTTCAAATGTTGCATGTCATTGCCAGCAGCTCTACAGCTTTATCCTTGATGTTCCTGATTATATTGCAGAGGATTTAACAAAACACCTAAGGAGAATGAATGAGTGAGCCTCTGAATCAATTCTTGTTTGTGGTCGTTCTTTATTAATTAGCACTTGAAGAGCATCAGGCCCATGGTAGATGCTGTACAATAGCTTGGAATTAGACAAGGCTACTTGGCTCTGAGGCTATAATTTGTCAGGAAAATCAGACTTGGAAAAGATGGGAGGACAATGGCCTGATAATATAGTAGACTGTATTTTATATTTTGAGTCCGGCTTGCAGCTAACACTCGAAAGTGTTTCTTACGCAAGGTGCCTGTGTTTTTCTGGATATTCTCCTAACTTGTCGTGAGTATTCGATAAATATTAAAGCCAACATGAGATAGATTTTAAGAAGGTCCTTTTCCTGTTTCCTTGTCCCCCCAAAAGTAAACCACAGTCCATGGGTAGAAAGCAGCAGGGAAGAGGGGACCCTGTTTCAATCAGCTGCCCTTATCCAATTCTTGGGCCCTTCCACACCCACATTGTCCTGGCTGGCTTTTCAGTGGCTCTGGACTCTTGGCCAAGCATACGTTGGGAAGCAGCTCTTCCCTTACAGGGAGGAAGGAGGAAAAGAGGTCAGGGGAAGCTTCTTTTCCTCCAGCTAGTCTCCAATTGGAGGCACGGTAGGAGAAAGGGGAGAAGGGGGGTCTGGAGAGGGAGTGGCAGGGGTGGGCTGTGGGGCCCGGGTAACGAGAAAAATATCAGACCAGAGGAGGGAGGAGAGCAGGGAAAAGGACTAGAAGCTTCTGTCCTAGGCACTAAAGTGAGCAGTGTGGCTGTGGCTAAAAAGGTGAGAGAAGCTGCCGGTCCTGGTCTTCTACAAGTCTACGGTTCCAGGGCAGAAAGGAGGAGACACGAGAAGGCCAGACATAGCCAACACCACAAAGCTGTGCGAAGCTTGCCCAGGGGCTCAGCAGTAGACTTAAGCCCTCGAGAACTTAGTGAGGGCTGGCCAAATGTCTGCTAGGTGCCCGGTGTACAAAGAAGTGCCCTGGAGAAGCGGGTCGCAGGAGATGGAGTCAGTGAAAGGCTTCACTGAGGAGGCAGCTTCAGTGCACCGTGGGGTGGGTAGGTGGCTGTGCCCGCGTGCAGGCTTCAAGAGTTCAGAATACTAGGCAGGCCCGGGAGGAGGGGAAGGAGGCGGAGATTGAGCCCGGAGGAAGAAGATGGGAGGGTGAGGAGAAAAGAGGCAGGGTGGGGGTGTCACGG